TAATGAGAGTCCACGGTGAGGAGCACCGCGGTGTTGGTAAGGATTGCCAGACTTTATCCACTCCTCCTGTGGGCAACACACCCTTCTTGCATCTCTCCCTGCCTGGAACACAGTTACTCTTTTTTATTATTTACATCTATAATACAGAAACAGCAAAACAAAACCCACGCTAAATACGCAAAGAACACAGACATTAGCTATTACCATATGCCAGTATTGTTTGCTAATTACTCAAGACATACCAATGGATTTTTTACAAACGCGGACAACGCAGCCATCCTCCAGCCAACAGTACCGATGCAACTGTTCTACCGCTCGCTCCCCACCACCTACTGCTGCACTTTGTTCTGCCTTTCACATTAAACCACATCTCGGAAAACCAGTCTCTAAGGAAAATACCATGCACGCACATGCACAAAAGCACTAAGGCTGACGAAGAAGAAACAATCGGAAAAAGAAACAATGGGGCTGTGTTATCTGGATTGTCTTAAGATGACCTCTAAAAATAATAGTAATAAAATGGTTTCAGAAAGATTCATCTTTTGCTAAAATGCCTCAGACTTGCCACTCCCAAGGGTGTCAGTCCATATTGCATTAAGATTCCGGGAGTCCAGCAAAGGTGTAGAGGCCATTACTAAAACAGAGACCTTTTAAAACATTCCCTCTTGCAAAAATTGAGGACGACTTCTTTTCTTAGCTTGAAGGAATATCCTGATTAGCCTGGGTACTACTTGTCTAGGAAGTTCACAGGAACATCAGTCAGAACAACAGGCATTATGTTTCTGCACGTAAATATTTATAAATGTAAATAAATAAATAGTTTCTTTGGAGATGGGATGGGGTTCCCAAGGCGGGCATTTGCTGCACTTATGATCCTCCTTCTACTGCAGAACATTATAATTCCCCAGAACAGAGCTTTGTGGTGACAAAGATCCGTCAAAAGGATCATCAAATATCAGGGTGCAGGCATTACTTTTAAAATCACAACTCTCAAGATTCAGTGAGCACAACAGGGGGCCTGGTTTGCATTAGGACAAAGTCAGATCCCTGAAGCAGCAGGAGCGATCACAACCCCAGAATCTCAGTGCTTCCTTTTGTGCCAGTCCAAGGGAAAACTTCCAAGTCAGTAACAGCAATAAGGATTTATTTTGCCGCTGTAATTATTTCCGTGTACAAAACTACACTGAAAAAGAGCTTTAAGATGAAAGAATAATTGAGGCAACTGAAAAGTAGCAGCCTTCACTCGTGGTGAAGCATTTTTTTTCCCCTAAAGTTCTACTTCAGTATCAATTTTAAGGATGTCTGTAATAAAAAATGGGCCAGTTGCTTATTAAATAGTCCAGATACTGTTGCCTGTATATTTTGCCTCTCCTCCCTCCCTGACTATAGATTTTTGATGCCTAATTCATCAGTTACAGACTATAAATGGTGTTAAATTTATGTTTGCCTTTTATATCTCACATATAACTTCCTGTGATCTTAAAGCAGATGTCTGTTGCGACGGTGCCTGCTTTTAACTCGCTCAGAGAAAGGCACACTCTGAGGTTTAGCTATTTCAACCTCAGGAAAAGCTGGAGGTTCACCACATTTATTAAAACTACTGTATTCAGCACAATTTACAGTGCACCATTTTGCACTGGAGCTGTGACAGCTGCTAACTCCTCTACTGCTTCCTTTGCATTTTGAAACACACCTCTAAGCAAACAATTTCAAGATGTTTGTCTTTGCCCTGGCTTTGCTTTTACCCAACAACCACATTTCTGCCTAGCACCAGCTGTAACTTCAGTCTATTCCTTTCTTTTGCTAGTAAGAGGCACAACATAGTTCTAGTAACCTTCATCCTAAACTCTTCCCTGAACTCCGCAATTCTGCTCTCTTCATACACAAACTGCCACATATATAAGCTACTGGTTTGTGTTCTGTTTTCTATGAACTGTGAAGTTTCCAGAATAAACATTGTATGATTTAAGAAAAATCCCAACAATATAAAAATGAACAAAAACCTGAGGACAGAGGTAACTATAATTCCTTTTGCTCACGATCAACTGTAAGACAAATTAAACTGCTTTACTATGATGTGCAATATTTAGTGATTGTTTTATTAATGCAGAAATACCTGCTTAGCTTCATACCCATTCTGATTTAAAGTGCAACAATTAAATCTGATAGTTCTTGTACATCCATATTTTGCAAGTGTTGTTCCTAGAAGACACATCGTTCAGATTATGCCTTGCATTTGTAAAATCTGTCATTTTTTAGTACCGTTTTGCTTTATTAACTAAAATAAACTGTACAAAAAGCTGTAGAGTTACATTAGCTTTGAACAATGTAGGATACACGTTCTCTGCCAAACTTTAGTGTGCAAACATTTTACATTTTTTAAAGTGACAAAATTAAGTCAACCTTGAAGTCAGAGTTCATTACTACATTACAAAACAGGAGACTAGATATGGCAAAAGAAATTCCCCACTGAAATCAACACCATTGTATAATTTTATTTCTAATTCTTAAAAAAATATAAATGAATTTAGAAGAGAATCACAGTATAAGGGCCCTAACATATTAGACCATTACAAGGTACATAAAAATAGAAGACACAGATTTCTTTGAAACTTTAATCCTTTGATTAAGCAGCAAGCATATCACTCTCCAGGCAAACACTGCTTAAAACAAACCCTACCCCCCAAAACAGGACGTGCAAACTGTATGCACATATTCTGCAAAGCACACAATAAAGACATTTTGCTATGTACATACTTATTTAGTACTACAAATGCTAGGAGTTCCCTACTGTGTGCTACAGTGTATGTAAATTAAGAAATACTACCTATCTCTGACCCTCCCTCCCCCCTTCAAATACAGCACCTTTGCCCAATTATAGAATATTTAAACAAGATTAAACGGAATTACAATGTACTGAACAGTTTTATAGCAGTTGGTGATGGCCAACTGTACTGCAACACCCAACATTCTGCATACTGAAGTCTATCGACAAGAGACAAGACAAAAATTAGCAAAGGTACAAGACACACACCTGGGAGACTCAATGCAAAAAAAAAAAAAAAAAGAAAAAGAAAAAAGAAATCCTGAAGATGTATCTTATCACTGTTAACAATTAATCTGAGACACTTATGATGTCAAAATATACCAGACTGGTTTCGTATCAGTTTTAAAGACTGGAGAGCAGCCAGATTTGTGTGTAGCTGGTGAGAGGACACTTACGACTCCCAGAACACAAGTTTCAGTGACCACAGATTCCTCAGTGCTTGTTTTACAATCCTGCTTTTCTTAGATGAGAGGTCATCTGGTGCTTACGTAGTGGCTAAGCATCTACTCTGATGCAAAAGAAAATTCGTAAGAAGGATCTTTTGTACGAGACCTCAGCACACCCGTGAAAGCTGTTCAGAAAGAAAAATCTCTCAAGTTTGGTCTGAAAATATTTTTAAGTGAAGGACTAAACCATAAAGGTCAACACCTTAACTGCAAGTCAGGCCACAACTATCAAACTTTCATACTAGATTTACAAATGAAATAGGATCTGATGGGATAAGAACTTCCCTTTGCACATAAAAAAGACCTTAGCCAGCTGCTAAACTGATCATTAGACCATCCAATTCATCTGTGAAAAAGCACATTCCATTTTCAAATAAAGTCTCATTTTAGTCAAGGGCAAATCTACTTAATAACAGAATGGATTTAAAAGGATTTTCAAACACCATTTCAGCTATAAGCAAAATCAATTTTCTAAATAGTATGGCAGTCAACATGAATGTTATTACATAGTCAAGAATGCAATATTTTTCAATAGCTTTGATTCAGATCACACAGTTTCAAACAGTGCTACTCAAATTTGCAGCCTGGTTTACTTGCAGGGTAGAGGCATCTACTTTTTTAAAAAAACTAAAAAAAAAAAAAACAAACCCAAAAAAACCCCCCAAAACACTGGTGGGCATAAAACAAGGTTTCAGGCAAGAACAGTTTAATGAATGCAGTAGGAAGAAAACCTTTCAATCTCTTAAAATTTGGAAGCAATAATTAATACCCAAGTGCAGATTTTACTTAATAAAACAAATCAAACAAAAAACCCCCTCAATAGCCTCAACCCAGCTAATCATCTCTGCCAGAAATAGCAGAAATCAGAGAAAATCATTTAACAGTAAGACTGGGCTGGTAGCAGGTAACTCTACTGCCACAATATTCTACTACCACTACCAGCCTCTATACTTCCCTCATGAATTCTTAGGCAAGATATCAATGATCTAACATACACGAACTGCAGACAGCCATTCTCAGAGGAATGAAATTCTACTGTACTTAAATTAGAAGAATTAGTGGAGTAACAAATTAAATTAATGGTTCTTGCTATATGGTTCCTCTCCTGTCATCCCCCTGGGTGGTGGAAGTTGCTCCCTCTCTCTCCACCCCAGCCCACAAGAGATTAGGAATCTGGACTCCTGTTTTCAGTTAACTTCTATGAGTAGAACACATGTGAGATTTAGTAAGTTTGGTACAATAGCTCATTGAGTCTTCAGAATACTCTTTCAGAGGAGTATTTAATAAGACAGTACCTTTTTGAACAAGAAAAAGTGTTCTGGGAAAAACATGAAGAGAAGAAACACCTACATTTTACAAGTGCGTGAAATGCTTCTACTGTTTTCTAAACAGGGCCAAAAATTCTGAACCTAAGGCCATTATTTATTTTGCACTAAAAAGTAAAAAAAAAAAAAGTAATTCACACACACACAAAAAAACCCCAACGCTACATTTAAGTCTCCTACAATATTATCTATTCCTAGATTTGCCAGACTACTTTCCTGTAGTTAGATGCTTGACTATAAAGAACTGTAATAAAATAAATAGAGTAAAAATCAGTTTAAACAAAATCTTGGTGTGTTGAACATTTATTCATTTAAGAAGTTAGCTTCCTTCAACAGTTATTCATATAGAGGAGGGCTGTATTGTAGGCATTGTTCTGCTGTACAAGTCTTCGACATAAAAATATTTTTATACAGGTGGTCATTCACGTGGTTCTGTTTCTAGTTATTAGCTTGCTCCTCTGTAAAACTGGTCTGATACCTGTGAAGGCTTGCTCTTTTCTCCCCTTCATTATTTGGAAAAAAAAAAGTACATCGATACGATTTTTCACATGTAGGAGTTAGCATAATTCTGCTTTATTTCTTCAGTGCAGAGTGGACTGGGATTCTGTCTGAATTCCAATAAGCGAGGGTGGCTGCTGGCCGCTAACTGTGGTTAACACTGGCCTTGGGTTTAGACGAGGAGGCATGGAATTAGCTGGGCGGATGAGCGGTGGGGGAGGCTGATTTAGAGTCGGCCTTGGCTGAATAAATCGCGCCTGCTGTTGAAGTGGCGGAGGCTGACGATGGAGAGCAGGAGCAGCAGGAAGCGCTGGACGAAGTAACGGGGGCGGCTGATTTAAAGTTGCCATGGGAGCGGTAGGTGCTGGAGCAGATGCCTGTGCTGGAGGTGAAGGGCCTAAACACTGAGTGGCCGGAGTGCTTTGTGCCTGCACAAAGGACAAAGACAAGACTGCGTGAACAGCCATCCCAGCCAGAACGCCATGCAGTTGGGCTGCCACTGTCCACTACACAGGAAACAGCATTTAAAAAACAAAACCAAAAAACTGAGAAGTTACTGAAAAGAAATCACCAACCAAAACATTATAGACAGAAGAACTAAAAATATTTATGAAGCAAGAGTCTTCTTTCTAGAACAAGAACTGTATTTTAACAATAAAACAGTAACGTGATCGTCACTATGAAAGGTGCAGTCCTGCTCCCAGCTGGTTAACGACATTGGCTGAAGTTCTATGCAAGCTCATCATCATTCTTTAGAATGCGGTTTGCCACTCCACACCAGTTAACCTTACATTATATCACTAAATAAAATGCTGTTCCTCAACCCATGCTTACTTATTTCTGGTACACAAAACACACCTCATCTTCTTCATCAGTGCTCTTTCCTGATGGCACATTAGAAGTATTTTTTGTGTCCTCCCCTAAAGCAGAAGCATCACCATTAGAAGCCAGGGTTCCTTGTTCCGCTTCCCATTCCTGCAATACCTCCTCTAAGTTAAACCGACGCCTGTAGTTTACAAAGAAGTTCTTCACTTGGCCAACAGTCTTGTTGCCAATTACATCTGCAATAGCTTGAAAATCTTTACCATATTTTCGGACACCTGGAAGGCAAAGTAAATAACATAGCTGTGAAGAATCAGTCAGACACAGCTACGTGTGATGTATTTATAGAAAGAACCTATGGGACCTGCAAACCAAGGACTCGCTAATTAGGAAGACTTCTCAATTAGGAGAAGGCCTCAATTTCCATTAAAACAAAATAATTTTTAATTGCACAGCTATCAACATACAAATCAAGAACTTTATTAAAAGGTCATTACCCACTCGTCTTAAAGATCCTGGCTTACTCACCAAGCCTCCCAACCTAAAACCACAGAGATCTGGCCTCTGATGAATAAAGTAAATCCTTCAGTGTGCTCGCAGTAAGGGCAGAAGCCCAAGACAAGTTCAAGATGGGAGAGGGAGGGTGACCGAGCATGTGTGTATAGCTGTAAACAGGGTATAACACTAGAAATGTCAAGCGACAAATGTTGACAGCTTCTATACGTTCCCTCCGTGCCAGCTGCATGCAGATGTTTCTTTGCCCACAACCTGTGCAGCAGGAGTGGTAGAGGGCAGTAGCTACTGGACCAAGCACAGGGCAGAACTGGGGGGGCACAGTTCCATAAGTCACGATATACTGCTCATTCCTCCACTTGTGACATAGTCTACTAAGGCTATGAAGAGCAACTGGCAAGCATTCACCTGGCAAAGTCTTTTTAAAGCTTTCATTCACCATTTGAGCTGGGTAGAAGAATCTGGGGTTTCGGAACAACCACGTTGGGGAATGCAAGTAAATAAAGCTATTGGTGTCTGTTTATAAGACAGCCCAGCACAAGCCTCCAGGATCAAATCCTCCAGCAAGAAGCAGCATGACAGAAGATCTTTGCATTGTTCTTTTCATTCATTTTCATGTTGATATCAGTACATCACTTTTGTTTACAAGCACTTCACAAGAAAATGCTGCTGGTCCTTTCCAAACATCCCAATAGGTGCTTTTTAAAGTTCTAAAACTACATTTGCATATAACACAAAAAAAACCCTTAAGTAGAGCATTCCGTATTTTTTAACCTAAAATTGGAATTATAATCTAAAGTTTATTATTTTCTCTCAGTTGTACTTAGGGTATGTGTCTAGTTCCTCCTCTCTCCTGCTTAAGAAAAAAAAATCCTCAAACTTTCCAGCATCCTAGAACACAGCTTTTATCTGCGCAAAGTATATTTTTAATCACAAGTGTCCAAAAGTTTGGAGACTAGAAGAAATAAAACAGAGTTTTATTCCAGACTCAGTAAACAGAAGACTCACTTTTTGCTCTCAGCTATGCATGAGTGAATTACAATTTGACTCCTTCTGTGAAGCTCCTGATAACTAAACTCATTTGGAACATATTACAGTGCTTAGAGGACAGGCACTCTGTCTCATTACAGGAAGAGAAATTTATGTCTGATTTCACGCCTCACTTCAGAAAGTGAAGCAAAGGATTCAGAAAGTGAAAGTTGCTTCAAATCTGAAAGCTATGTTCCTTTTCAACTTAATTGTGAAGAGTATGACCTCCAGCTTGTTCTGCTCTTTTCTATTTTCTTCATTAATAGGCACTTCTGATGTGGTAATGTACACTCACTGCAATTTAAGAGAAAAGTTCAGCTCTAGGATAGTAACAATTTCTGCAGCTGAAGCTGATGTTTCAACTGTCAAGAGCCCAGATACATTATTTAAGATCTTTTCTGGGGCATACAAAAGAATCCAACCATCCTGACTGCAAGAACCTTGGAAAGAAAACAAAGGGACCCAGCAGAGCCACGTGGCAGGGCATGTATCTAGGCAAAGCAAAGATAGGGATTTGGCTCTGTGCTTTATCAGTTGTACAAGGCATCAGCTATACTCCTTAAAAGCTGCGTGCGCCCACAGAGCACTCCCTCCAGTGTTTTAATATTCTTTGATTGCCCTACCATTACCACCCTAACTAATTTATAATGATCATTAAACGTCCACTGCAACATATCTAATGTCCTGTACAATTAATCAAGTGAACAAAGTGCCCAGCAGAACAAAGCAGATTTTTGTTTCAAACCTAATTCAGATTTCTAGTGATTTTTCTGTTACTATGCTGTCTATACTTCTTCCTTCCCCTTAATCTGCAAAACAACTGAGACTGTTGGCTAACTTCAGCTAAAGTTGTCAAAAATAAGGTCTTAAAGCCTATTTCAAAGAGCTTGAAAACAGTGTATCTCGCCTTCACTGAAAGCCCAACTGTAAGAAATATCTAAAACTAAAATTTCCTTAGTTTAGCTACAACACAGCACTACTCATTTTGGATTCTTTTCAGTGTTATTTAGTACTGCTTTAGCATCACCACAATGACTTCTACACGATGATGTAGTAGAACCCTTTTAAGCTGCATCAGAAACAGTAGTAGTTCAATACATGTTTATGAAAGTTTTATGCATAAGGTGCTGGCATATCTGTAAGAGTTGATGCCAACTCATCCCTTTCAAATTGGTGCACGTTACTTACACATCCTTATACAAATTCTGTGCTAAACACCACCCAAATTATTTCTCAAGTGTTTAATCTGTTATTCAATAAGAATAATTTTATTAGGTTGCTGAAAGTGAAGCTCAAAAGATGTCTGCATAGCCTCACTTCACATGAATGTCTTTCTCTCAGCTCATTTGAAAGTAGCCCTTATCATGGGAATCTTTCAAGCTCTTCAAAACTTTGACCAGTTGCAAAGGTGCACTTGAACATGTGTGTGCTCACTATTACAATGTTTAATCTTGAATGTCTAACTCGGAGAAACTCATAAATCCAAGTTTGATGCTGTCTATGCCGCTTAACGCTGTGCAGCACAGCAAACACTGACAGGCACACAAAACATTAGCCTAGGTCCAAAGCACTATAATACAGCACCACAACGAAGCAGAAATAGTTAACGGCAACCTCCAGGTTATGAGAGCTGCAGTTTCACTGTGATGAGATTACAGTGCTCCTGGCAACTACCTTACATAGAGTTAGATCCCGGTTGTCCCAACTGTTTTACACTGCAAAGCTATGAAAGTAATGCACTGCTTTTCAATTAAAATTTTGTGGTTTTGAACAAGTCTTAAAACATTTTTGCAATTGCAGTTTTCATATGGCTGAAATCTTAGTTTGAAAAGATGATTGTGCTCATACATTTCTATACATAAAGTCTGTAACTTAAGAACACCTCAAGTGATGAACTGGCCCATTACATTCAATAACTATTCACACAAAGTTGAACAGTAACCTGATAAATTATACTGCAAAAGATCGGCTCAGAGATCGTAAGTCTGAGTCCATAACCCGATTGCAGGCAGCCACACTGCTTTTAAGATTACACACTCAGGTCTATTTTAAGGTGGGTTTTTTCATTACCTCCTCTTTAGTTACTGCCAATCTCTTGAGATTAGCCCACAGATGACAAGAGCTTTTTCATGTTAGGAAAAACAGCACCAAAATTGTATTACTGCAGATTATTTTTATGACTTCCATGGTTGGATTTAATATCCGAATTCAAGTGAACAAATCACAGAAGTGCCACCTACCTGCTTAATGCTTATGATTTCTGTAAAATTATTAAAAGCACATGCCAAAATGTATCAATACATTCGATGAAATAAATCTATTTTAAATGTACAAACAAAATGTCCCCATGCTAAAGTCAACTTCCAAGTTCAAGCCTAACACGCATTATGGTAGCTTTTAGTACAGCAACTATGGCTACTTTCTTGTAAAAACAGAGTCAGGGCAAAAGACAGCATAGCTCCTTCATGCATAAGTCTACTAGCTCAAGCAATTATTCTGAAGCAAGGGATCAGGATCCTTAGCCTGAGGGATGGGAGGTTAATACCTACAGCACTCTCATTCCAGGAGGGAGACTCTACTACCGGGCAGTAGGTAAGGGAGGGATAATAAGAATACTTTGTTTCTGGCATTAAGGTTCTCTCCCATCTCCATTTTGTACAGTGGCAAAGGAAGGGGACTAAAAAGGAAACAATACATGTAAGAAGCACATGTAATTCAATGAAAACAGGTTTCTTCCAGGTGGCCTGATTTTTCACCCCACCCTTAAGTATTGAGGCTGACTACCTTTATAAAACACAAAACATTCCCTAGAGAAGAGACCAGAAGACTGGAACTCCTCTCCAAGGAGTCATCACCAACCCTCATTCTCTTTTGCCCATGCTCCAGTTTTATTATTTACCTTGTCAGTCACATAATGCCATAGCTTAACAAAAGCTAAATGCATTCTTATCACTTCCCAAAGTGATGCTTAGTGCGAGCTCCAATAACTAAACTATGAAAATGCAAGATAGTTTGAATCCTTTCATGCTAAGGCAGGCACAATGAACCTCGATTTTCCCCACTTCTCCAGCAAGCATTCTACTTACTAGACTATCATATTAAAGATAGGCATCTCCTTCAGTTGCATTTGGGAACAAAATAAAAAAAGTGAGCTTATTAGCAATACTGAGAGGATGAACTTAGGTTTGGAGATGCAAATCCTAGTCTGAAGCATTTAAGTTGAGGCATGATTTCAGACACACCATGCTCTTCAGCATTTCCATTCACACTTCAAAATAAATCTAACTTTAGGTTCAATTATCTGGCTAATAACTACCAGGTATGGCACACCTGACAACTTTACACTGATATCCTGATCCAACTGAAGGTTTTATACTAAAATTCAGTCTTTCATTTTAAAGGTGAAGAATACAGAGAAATAAAGCAGATGTGTATAACTGAGCTGATTATATTAAAAGATGATCCATAGAAGTGAGCCAATGTATAGTGTCTTCAAGACAGCATTAGGCTCTCCAGATATTTCCCTTGCATGCTCTTTGATTAGGCAGTGCATGTTAAAGCAAGACAAGATTCAGTTTTCCTTCATATAAATGAAATAACTGCAAATTAGCTTATCAATAGCCTAGAGAAAATGTTGTTTTTTCTCCAATAAGATTATTAGTCAAGTATCCATAACCAGTTTCAGACTCTTAAAAGGCCTCCACTGGGTAGGTATCTGCTCTTTTATTCCCTCATGAACAGAGAAAAGTAACTGTAAAGCAGTTTTACTTCTGCTTTTTCCTACTTTCAGAATACAGAGAGATGTTTTAGTAAGCGTTTGCTTCAAATTTTATTACTTCAACTATTACTTCAGTCTTCCACTTCAGAGACATTCATGTAAGATGATTTAGAAGATGATTGAAAGGACTTTTTGGTATTACTACAGTTGTTAAACCCAGCTTAGCTTTTTCTAGTCAAGATTTAATACGGGTAACTGAAAGACTAGTGTCATGTTGCTTGAATGAATGCCCTAAATATTCTCACTAGTTTTGCTGTTTTCACAGTGACTTTCTTGTAAGACCAGATAAAGTTTAGCTTTCCATTAGAAGGAAATACAAACATAAGCCTGAGTACCTCTTCAAATCCTTTGCATCAGATTCCAAGTCGCTACTACTATTAACATACCTTGTACTGCAAGAAGCTGCTCTTCTGTGGTCCAACGGGCATTGATTTTCTGATTAGACTATTAAAATTAGAAAAATGGCACAAAGATCATTAAAATGTTTCAACAGCTGCAAAATATCTGAGCATCAGAATGTGTTTTACTTGCACTACATTTTGTAACAAAGATACAAATCTCTTGTTTATAAGCCATAAATTTATAGTTTGATTGCTTTCATGAAGAAGAAATGGCATTTAAGGATTTGAGCTTAGAACTCCACCAATAGTTTTTCCCTCTGTTTTACTGCAGTTCTTAATATCATATATATTTTAACTTATGCACAAGGTAATGATCTTTATGCAGACAGAATTTGAATTTATAGTTACATTTATCTAAAATATTAGGACTTGGTGTCTGGAGTGTTTTGCATTCACGTTATGTTTCACATCCAAGCCTTTAAAACAAGCAAAAAGAGAACTTCAGTAGTAATAAATCATTCACTTTGGATGCCCAAATGTATATATAGTCATGTTTTCACACAGAACATAGAATTTACTGCTAGCAATCTACATTATCTACTTTTAATCAGAAAAAAACCCATACAGGGTTCAATTTCAGCTCCCTATAGTCATGAGCAGGCATGACATTTCAGTTTTTTCTGCTTCTTTATTCAGCCAGTTGCCATAAAAAAGCCTACCACTAATTTCTTGTAAAGAAGCCAGACTCACCCCTGCATGTAATTCAATGGATCCTGTTTAAGCTGCTGCTGAAATGCAAACACTATGCTGCAGCAAAATACATTTCTGTAGCTTCCCACTAATGTAAGTGCAAGGCCACAAGTTCTAATATTTATTCTGATTTACCTCAGGAGGTTTGAATTCTTCAATCCCGCCTTCCATTTTCTGTTTAAGTGCACTGTTTACTTGCTTAGCATTTTGAACCTTGGTCAAAAACAACAAAGTTAATCAGCTCCACAAAGAAAGTTGGTCACTTTACACATATATCTTCACTAGGATTGCCACAAGTGTACCTCCTAAGTTAGAAAGAGAAATATTACGGTTTAAGGCTTCTCTACTTTTAACTGTTTAAAAAAAAAATTTAAAAAATACAGCACAGTTTACTACGGAGAGAAAAATATTTAAGCCAGTCTTTCAAAAGAACAGTTTGTCTACAGGAATATTAAAAGTAGGACATAACAAGCAAGTTTTGATAATGATGCATATGTTCTTGAAGAAGAATGCAGAACATTCTAGACACAAAACTTGGTTCTTAGAAATCTAAGCGAGATGTACTGTATACATTAACTTCTTCCTTCTCCAAAAAGCACTTTGGAAAAAAAAAAAAAAAGATTTATGAGATGTTTCCAGTTAGTTCCTTCTGACAGACTGCTTTTTATTGACCTTAGATCATCATGATTTCCTCTAAGGGTGATTCTTGAAATGATTTAAAATATTTACATAAAATATCTTAATCTACAAAAAGGAAAGAGCATCCAAATCGTACATATACATATCTATTAACCATTTAAACCTGACAGCGATGCACATAAGGTAACATAGGTAAGAAAATAGTTTTGCATACTACGGTGCACAGCTATTACAAGCGTTCTTAAGTATGGACACAAAAGCAGACAACTCAGTGGGAGATTCCAAAAGCTGCATCTCTGAGATCACTGCAAGAAAAAAAGAGAAACACAACCTCAAGGCTGTAACTCACCTACACTTAGGCTAAAGAGTGAAACCCACCTATGCTATTTAGCCCCAGAGTCCTGCTGTGACAGAAAGAAGCATATTTCTCCTGTAAAAGAATACAAGGGAGCAAAAACCCCATGAAACCCTTTATCCACTCTATAAGGAGGCAGAAATTCCAGGAGATAAGCCTTGACTTTGTAGCCCCATCGCTCCTAGAAAGCAAGCATGCACACACTGCTGTACCCTTAGAAGCTGAATAGATGCTGTGTTTCAACTTTCAGTGCCAAAAGTTAGCTTCTTCATGCAAAGGACGCAGGCAATTGTCCTCTTAAAGTGAAGACTACAAAGCTTTTCTAAATTTAATAAGTAGAAAGCTCATCAACTCAAACAGAGAAATAACTAGGCCCATGATTTCTCTCCCCCACCACCATACTTTCATGGTATGTGGGGAAGGACTTCCAGAAAAACAGTTACAATTTTAAGCATAACAAATGTAACTTCCTCTGCTTCATTGGTCTTATTCTCACTTGTCACACAAATACTTTTAACAAAGTTTAAAAAAAAAAAAATTAAATCAAAGGTGACTTCAGTTTCCTCCTGTCCCGAAATCTGTAACATTGTTTTCATGCCATACTCCACCACCCCACCCCCAGCCCCCTTTTTTTTTTTTTTTAAGGAAGTCATCTTGTTTCATGTGATCCACAAGAGCAGATGAACATAAAAAACAAAACCAAATAATAGCTAGTCAGTTAGCGTCCAGCATTTCTGGTGATAACTGTGGAACAAAGTTAGGAAGACTCACATTAAGGAAGTTTCAGAATCTTCACAGATAATCTTCAAAATCATTACAATCAGAACAATCTGAGATGAAAACAAAACAAGACCAATAACCCATGGTACCTGTCGCTTTAACGAGATTAGTTCCATATCCAGCTGTCTAAGAATTGTGTTGGCTGCATTGGGACTACAGGAAACAGCTATCACATCTTCCTGGGTCAGGTACATGCCTTTTGGTGGACGGCATTTGGAACGCTGAGAATGGTGCCGATGCTGCAAGCTCTGATACTCTCTTCTACCCAGACCTATTTTGCTGGTCTGAACAGGCTGCTCATTATTGCCCTTTAATTTACAAGAAATAAATCATTAAAGAATAACAGTATCTTGTATACAACTTTATTAAATAATAAAGTATCACATAGCATTGTAATGTCGTATTTATGACAAAAAACCCTAAGCTAACATCCTCCTCTGCATGTAGTATCCAAACTAAGCCTTGCAGATGAGCTGACAGAGCATACTAGTCATTTGCTAGATAAGTCTGCATTAGTCTTAGAAAGGTCACTTTTCAAAACTTTTTTTTTTTAACATGGCTGAAAATACAATACAGAAATCACAGTCTGAATACTGCAAAAAAGGGCAAAAATTGAGAACCTCTTAAGTACGCAGAAGGTAAAGAATATATGTATTACACATTTAAAGCAAGTAATCAGCAAATTTACACATTTATTTCTGGTCAGATATGAAGAGTTCAGGTGAAGACCAGGGAAGAAGAATGAGAGAAGGTCAACCAGAACAGGCAAGAATGCAAGATGACACCTTCCCCTGCTGCAAGCACTCTATGGAAAGCGATAGTGCTGTTTGCTTTGGGAAGGGATTTGAGATTTAGGAGAGAGAGGATGGACGTATTTTTGCAGTCATGATAAAAATCCATGTAATTTAGCAAACTTAAGCCTTTGTTGTTTGCTTTTTTGAAATGGAAAGGGATAGCAAAGAGGAGATGAAGTCTTTGTAACTGCTGTTTTCATATGTTTGGACACCTAAAAATTCAATGGGCCTTGCTGCACAACAACTAGTCTGCATGTATGTGACTCCCTTAGAGCAACTATGTAGGTTCCCTACAGACCAGGAGTAGAGAAGCAAAAATGACTTTCCCTGCAAGGATCTTCCAATTCAAAGCAATGCTAAGTACCAGAACAGAGACGGGATTCAGGCTTTTTGCTACTTCAAGCAGCTCCCTACTGCTCCTCCCTGCTGGCATCCATGCAGGTTAAGAGGAAGTGGTCATCTGATCACAGTGAAGAGAAAACAAATTGCAGCAGCCATTATTACGTTCTGTAGCATTAGTACAGATCAGCAAACAGTATTTTGCTCTACTGTGCTTGACCTTCTGCCACATCCTCTTCCCAGCTAATGTAATAACATCTTAATCCAGTCCACAGACTTCATGGAGGCCATCTTAAAAGCACTTAAGATATTTGCTCTTCCTTGGAAAGTTGATATAGAGCCTTACATCTCTGACATCTAGAAGTCCCAAGGTTAAGTTTACTTCCAGCCCACTTATACCATTTGTTTTTTGGTTTTGCATTGCTCTTTCAGTATGAAATTGCAGTTCCTGTCCGTTCAATCTGAATTTAAAGTGAAAATATTCTCTTAAGCTTTTGTCTTGCCAAGCTAGAGTGTTTGGCTTGTTTTAGTTTTCTCTGGTAACAGAAAGTTTCCATTGCTCTGTGCGTTCAAGTAGCCTACTCAGTTTATATTTTGCTTAGGAAGTGAAAATATGCAAATTCTACCAGAAATATTAGATCACAAAATTATCTTACGTAGATCCAAATAGCTCATCAGAAACTGCAAACCTATTTGTCCTGTTCCTAGAAGTCTATGAACACACTACTTTCATTCTGGACTGCATGTAGTGATTCAAACAATAACCAAGGAAAGTAAATTGAACAAAATAGCCCTTATTTAGAAGTGGCTTAGGCAGCAACTCAAATCAACAGATTGCAAGAACATTATTGCAACAGCAGAATGAAAAGTAAAAAAGTTCATTATTACACCTTGTGCCATTTCAAGTTCTAAAAAAACATATCCTGGCACCTTAAAAAAAAAAAAATCTCAAACTCTTTTACAGAAAGGGGTAATTGTAATTGTCCTTTTTTTTTCTCCTGAAGCAGTTAGATAAAGCAATACACTGAAGGTCATTGTAAAGCTGAGAATGGAACCTACACCTATCAGTCTCTTACTCAACATCATGTTTGGTAGAACTGCAAAGTTTTATTAATAATCCTAGATACCACTTCATAGGAATGTTGAGGTTTTGCACTACCTCTCCTCTCATATTCTCAAGAAGCATGAACTGTCCCATTTTAGGAAAATCACAAATGCATTAAGATGATCAAGGAAACAATCAAACGTTTACACACTTAACTGTGTTCTTCTAGCCTTGTTCATAAATAACTTAATGTTAACCAAAAGAACCCCCAAAAAACCCAAAACCTGAACATACCCCAAACACAGCACTTATCCGTAAAGCTAACAGTAAGTGCTCATTAGAGAAGACAAAAATGTTCTTCTCTACATTTATTAGTAGAAAGCATCTCAATAAAGCCACATATTAGTTGAAATGCATAACCTTGCTGTGGTCTTGAAAGAACCAAAAAAGTTATTCTTGGAAAAATGTCATTATGTCAGTTAATTTTAAAATGCAAAGAAAACATTTAGATGTAAAACTGTAAACATATTAACAAGACAGAGGCAGGCGGAATGTTGTTTTACCAGGTAGTGATAGCATTCATATCATATAAAACTTGAAGATCTCTCAGGAGATAGTGAAGGTAATGAGAGATGCATTTATGTCCACAGAATGGCAAAAATATACAATAAAATTTTGTTTCAATCAGAAGTTGTCAAGATCTTGATCACCTAAGAACCCTGTGATTTCAGCAGGCTGCAAGCTAAACCTCTTTACTAAAAGTCATTCTTCACAGTAACACATTCACAGAAAACAAACAAACTGACATTCACCGTTAAGCTATCTGTTACCTCCTTTTTGGCTTCTTTTTTGGGATCATAATCACTATCATTTCCATCCATTGGATGAGCTTCTTCTACGTCATCATCACTGAGGACAGATCATAAGAAGCTGGTCATTTTATCTATTTTTTAACCCCAAATATAAATACATATCAGGGTAAGACAGAATTATCTACTCTTAAAATATCTACTCTAAGTATATGGCATCTCAAAGGTACTTGTAGTTTTCAAAAGAGAGCTGTTACAAACATACTTCCTTTATTAAATTTTAATAATTATTATGATAAACAAGCAATCCTAAACTGTAGTTTCAAAATTACTTTAAGCAGTGCTGGTGCTGCTGCCAAAAAAATTTGGTGTCACCTTTCTTCAATTCAACTACTTGCACCAGCAAGAACACTTACATGGTCAACTATACCAAGGCTAGAAATAATCTTTCATTTGCCACATTAGTTTTAATAGATCAATTTTCAAACCACTGCACCAGGTGGATGAATAACCCTTGTTGAAGTCTGTGGGGAGCAAAAGGGGAAAATATACGATGGGAAAACAGAGGACTGCTTTTTCACCAAAGTGCTCAAGATCTAGCAATTTGGGGGGTGGGGGGAGAAAAAACTGCTGAATTAAATCAAACAGAAGAGGTTGAAAAGATAATAGTTTAGTTGAGTCCAATACAGTAATTCACACAATATAATTTCTGAATAAATGAATGTAAAAACACCACAAAAATTTCTAGTTATTACAAAAAAAACCCCAAAATGCTGTATTAGAAACAAACTGATTTTCTTCTGTAATTTTTCAGCTATAGGGTCACTAAGTAGCATATGAATTTTAGATTTCAGGAGTTCTTTCCAGTAACATATAATTAAATAGACCCTTTTGCTCTAGCTAGGCAGTTTTCCATAGATGTAAAATCATACTTTCCAATATAAACACGATTATGTTCCTTATACATTCAATATACTAAATCACTTTTTAAAAAGTGCAAGTTAATACTCAAGTATACTAAGTGCAATATAATTTTAATTTCGTAGTAACTAGGTGAAACGTCATTCCCTTCTATCCAAGGCAATTTAAAACTATTTTGAGCTTCAATTATCTTTGACTGATAGCGGTTCTAAGTCTCCTAATAAAGATTTTATATAAAGTTTTGTTATAAAACAGTACTTGGGCATTCTAATTGCTACAGCTTTTTACAGTGGTTGATCTTTCAGTTTTAACTCCATTCTAGTTGAAAAAAACCCAAACAAACAAAATCAGAAAACCCCCATACTCACAAAAACACTCTCCTTTCCACACAATAATATAGGGTTAGACTTCTCAAATAAAGCATTATTTCTAAATCACATTCCCAGACTTCAGGTTTTTTTAAACCCTTGTTTTTACAGTTATCCATTAAAGCACTCAAGCATGTTCCTACAACTCAAACTGACTGGAGTGATATAGTTCTTAAAGTACAGGTACCAAACCCCTTGCTAAAAGCAGAGACATCACCACAGATGCTCAAACCTATGGTTCATGCTGAACCATAATGGCTGGAAATTACTCCGACATCACTACCTAGAAAGACTACAGTCTCTGGTTAGCTTCTTAAGAATATAAAACTTACCTGTCACCTTGATTATTTCTATTAGCTAGTTTTCGAGCCTGCCGATCCATCAAACTTGTCCTAGAGCGAGTTTTTTTCCAAGAATAGTAATATTTTACAAGGCTTGCAATAGTCTTGTCTGGAAGCTAGAAGAATTCATTAACATATTAATACTTTTTAAAATTAAAATTCCACCCAAGATTATAATTCTGCTCTATTTACAACCACTGTTACCCAAATATTTTAAATGCATGGATGAGATGGAAAGGAGGGATGTACTTCATATACATTTTTTAAAAAGAGGGAGGGGGGGAGAGGCTTTTTTTATTAGAGTGAAAAAGCTATAGGTCCAAGAGACATGATGAAATTAACTTAAATCTTATATTCAAGGTTGTTCTTGAAACTTTTACACAGAAATCAACATGAAATTTTAGCCCAAGCGGAGCCTTTGTTCTTAGTGCATCTGAGCTGTTTAATGTTTCTGATTAAAATATTACTTTACCATTTGCTGGATCCTGTGAAAGCTCTTTCCATGGAAGCTAAATGCTTGTTCAAATAGGACTTTATCTTCAACTGTCCATTCATCAGGGAAAGGAGTGAAGTTAGGGAGATCCGCAAGGGACTTCTCAATATTGTGTTTATGCCAGAACAACATGCCGAGAGCCTTTGAAAAGAAATAGTCCCTTTTGGATTCAGTCAACTTTCTAAAGTGTTGAGACAAGTTAAATAAAAAAAGGCAATTTATTTGTTTAAAATAAAATTTGACTATCAGAACCCCTTCTCAAAATGTATTTACAATTTTATTGGCTACGTACTATAAGGTTACAAAATTCTCTTTGGAGATGATACGAAGAGTGGGCACATCTGTACTTTATTAAAGGTACGAAAGCTAGACAATTTAAGGTTGGCATGGCAGCAGTAATTCTGAAGTAGCATGAACTAGGCTGATAGGCTCAAATCTGACCTGCTTTCTTCCTTTACAAACATGTATCACCTACACAGTTCCCTATAGGTCTTCAGACCTTTATTACCAGCCCACTCAAAAAAGAAAATAAAAATACTTTTCAGCAGCCAGAGGATCATCCAAAATGTAAGTCTGAAAGTTCAAAGTGAGAGTGGTCTTTCTACAACTCTCCAATCCACAAATAACAGCACGGCCACTTCCATGTCATGTGCACCTAATAAGGAATGGAAATTGAAATATACTTTCTTACATAATTTCATTTCTTGATATTCTTAAAGAATTTTATGCTGATTAGACTTTCTGCCAGAGAATCAATGACAAACTTGATGCCAAGTCTGGCATGGGAATTGGGAAATGTAATCCACTCAGTTTCAACCATGACATGATTACCAGTTGTTCATCAGCTCTCCAAACCCCTGATTTTACATCTTCTAATAACCTGGACATAGCAAACCTCTTTTCTCATTAAAATGGCAAGTGACAAGCACCTCTTGCAAAGATAACTTCTATTCCACTGTGAATAGTCCACAAATACTTTGTACCAGAAGTTTTGAAAATTAGTCTTTTTTGTAGACTTCTTTTGAGATCCCTCAGTTCCTTCTCTCCCCTAACAAAAGCCAAGCCATAAAAAACCATCACCAAATTGCAGGTATTCTGGGCATTGTAACATTGGCAGCTTCTTTTTCAGATAGCAGTTGACTAGCAAGTCTTTGCTGTTATGAGCTTCCATCCTCTAAAACTTGATCATACAACTTGTTTCCACTTGTACACCAAATATTTTTTTGCAATAGGTAATCTCACTTTTACAGAAATTGGTTAATTTATGAAGAAAATTGCAACAGAACTAAGTGCAGACCAGCAAAGTTTTATCCTGTACTTTTTATGGGATGGTGACTAAAGGTTATTACTAAAGAAGTGAACTTGTTTGTTACTCTCAAACTTAGAATTTGATTTTGTTTTCCTGCCTCTGAAAAAACACTCAAAGTTGGTTTGCCTCTGTTTTTTTTTCTAATATGCAAGAAATCTTTCCAGTGCTGTCCCTATTGCGATTAATGGTTCAAAATTGTACCATATTTGAATTCTAATATTAAACATTAAATTTGTAAGCTGCTTTCCTAAGAAATTCTTTAGCTAAATATACACACACAATTGCATGACATGCCCAGTGTATCAAGAAACATACCAAACCTTTCAAAAGTGCACATTACAAGCTGAGCATGTCATGAAAACAAAGAGCTCAATCTTTTGCAGAGAATCCAGACCACAACTGTATGCAGATCCATTTAACTGCAGTGTTTGCTGCCGTGCCTGAAGAGAAACAGCGTTAATTAATGGTAACCAAGGGAAAAAAGAGTTGTGTTATACTTTTATATAAAAATCCTTTAAAGGAGTACTCTCATTTCATAGCACTTACCTGTTCCACATTGTATCCATGTTTTTCCTTTGCTATTGCTATATATTCATCCACTGTAACAAAGCAATGTCAGAATTATTCTTTAGTACTTTTAGTTCTGCTATAAGGTGACACACAATTAGCCATCTAACACGGGAAAACAGTCTTCCCATGCTTCAATACACTGCATAGGTACAGGTCTCCCAAAACGCTAAATATATTCATAGCTTTATTAGTAATAAATAAGCCCACTGTCTTTAATCCAACATTTACTTTTATAAACTTTTTACACAAGCTAATTCTCAGTGAAAAAGATGCTTTCTTTCACATTTTTACTACAATAAAGACACAGAGGCTCATCATTTATTTATTTAAATCAGAGATTAGCGGGTTATTGAAAGGCTATGTCTTCTTGGAACCCACTCCTAAGAACACAGACACACTGGGGGGCACGTCCAAATACCTAGGTTAGTTTTAAATTGAACTGTTCATATTCCCAAACATGTTAAAAATTAATGTAAAGAGATCCTAGATCTATGATTATGCATATCCTCGATATTAATATAGTTTTCACTGACCAACATTAATTTTAACCATGGCACGAAGACAGTTTTCAATAGAGAATATGAAAATTCAATTATGAGGTTAGCAAATAACATGTTTTTAAAATCATATTTGACCATACTAGAGCCAGCTTTGAGTTGAACACTTTCCACCACTCTGCAATTAAGTCCTGCTAGTTTTGATCTTCAATGGATACTTTTTTAATTTTTAAATAAACAAACTCTTCCCATTCACCTTCTACAGTTCACAATTAAGTGGCAACTAAATATCGTTGAAAGGAAGCATGATTGAGAAAAGGAAGTAATTATATCCTCATTATTCAAATAGACCAGAGACGTCCTTGCCATGAACTGTTGCAGCAAGGAATTAATTTTACTTTAAAGGAATGAAGAAAGTGTTTAATAATCATAGTTGTAGAGTATTTTATTTCTAACTGTTCTGCAGTAGTAGAAGGTATGTTGCCTTAAAGGCAGAGGGACACAAACCTCTAACTACTGGTAATAGGTAGAAACTGTCCTGAGGACCAGGTTCTCATAACTGTACGCTCAAAGTTTATTCCCCTGTATTACATATGGGAAATTCTAGAATAGAAGGCAGGTTTAAACTAGATTAAACAAATAATTGATCACATTTAGTCAGACAACTCCCGTATTTCAGGTCACTTTTGAAAGGAGAAAATGCTCAGTTTTTCCTGATAAGACATCAATAATAATTTTCCCTTGAACTGGGCCTCAACACATCTTTTCTGAATTTATCCACTGCAATTCCTTCTCCTACCAATTTAGAGTGGCAAGTTCCTCATGTTTAGATGTTTTATTCTTTTATTAATAACTAAAGGTTTCACAGACACTGATGAAGGTACAACATAGGCAGTGTGACTTGAAACAAAGACTTAACTATGAAATAAGAGAAGGTGATCTTTCCTTTCCCTGGAGTTCTCTAAATAAAAAAATAAAAGAGAAACTTTGTGTTTAATTTACTAATTTGCAATTTTACTGTGTGTAAAATAAAGAGCGAACAGGCACACCGTGAACAATTATTTAGTTATACTTAAGCATCCAAATTCCTAAGCGGGGAAGGACTTACACTTGGCATCTGGAATATTATGATATGGAGACCATACAAGCATCCCTCCATTATCTTTATCAGTATATTTTGTGGCACCTGTAAGAAAAGAAGTAAGTCTCAGTATTTATAAATATGATCTAGAGAACAACTATTCATGGGACAGTAAGTAAAAGTCAACCATATTAAGAAGTCCAGTCCAACTATTAAGGGGAGGGAAAAAAATCATTAATTCCACATTATTTCCTGAAGACATTGAATGGCTGAATTTGAACAGTACTCTTACGAGGTTCAGTCATAACTGGATATTAGACAGGATCCTGGTTACCACAATTGGAGCATTAAAGCACATTGCTAAAGTTGGCATGGATGCAAAATTTAGAGGTACTTGTGTTGGAACAGTCCTCCAGAAGTTATGATTGCCTGTTAGTACTCTAATATTTATCACTATCATAGGAGTATCAGGATCTACCGTGTTAAGTTAGGCTTCCTTAAAACAAACAAACAAAAAAATGAGATGGGGGTAGAATACAGTCACCATCCCTGATCCTTTCAACAAGGAGCTATACTAACAACCATGCCAGAAACTATTCTGTTCATCTCTCTCTCTCTAGTTTTGATTTTCATAGCCATGTAATTTTGATATTCATAGCCAACCAAATTGTGTAGCTGTAGAAAGTAGTTAGGTGTAAAACTAATCTTTTTTTGCTTGGTTGTTCTTTTTTGGGGGGGTGGGGTTTTTTGGGGTTTTTTTTGTTCATGCTTCACCTCCACCTCAACGTAGCAAGGGAAGCAGTCCAAGTTACCTAACCTATCAGGAAGACAGAGCAATTTTTGCAATACTGATGCAACTTTGTACAAAGCACTAAATCACAGAGTCTTTGATTTTTAAAAACACGCTGTAAAAGAAAAGGAAATTCCCCAATACTGGAAAAGCATCAACTAATGGTTACTTTTCATGTATATTTTACAAATGTATGCTACTACATAAAGCCTCGTACAATCTATTTGTTTACAACAGTTTATCTTGCTAAGACATTGCTTACAACAATTGCAGCATTTACACTTGTGTCAGTATGAATTCCTTGAGGAATCACCCTCAGAGGAACTTTCCTTGCATCCTTCTTGGAGAAGAACAGATTTTTTTATTCAGTGAAACAGGTAACCTTTCACTCCATTTTAAGCTTCCACACTTTATATTTAGGTTCTACATCTTGTTGAAGGAAACAAAACAAATCAATGCTCTGGAAAAGAGAAAAACTTGGTGCTTTCTAATTATGTACTATGTACTTATGTTTTGTTGCTCTTCCTTCTTTAGTTTGACAGTGTTTTGTATTTGTTATCATCTTTGCAATCTTTAGATCCATTACTACTGTGAACTTGAAAACCAGTTAATTAGAAAAACTAAAGAACTTACGTGTCTTCCAAAATGAGATGTTTAAGACAGATAACCTGTCTTTAACAGATAAAAGCACCATAAACTCTGTAACAAGTTAAAAATGTACATACATTCATAAAGCACCAGTTTCAAGGCATAAGCAGTACTAAACTCTGAAGGGGTTTTGGTATATAAGAACAAATTCCTTAATACAACATTCTACTTTAGAACAAAAAAGCATGCCATTTTTAGTCATTAGGAATGCAGTATTTCACAAAGAGTAATGCAAACATGTTACAGGGACATTTCTCTTGTCCACTCAGTTTTTATCACAAGTAAATGACAGCTACCCTGTACTCCAACCTAAGAGATGAGGAAAAAACACTCGAGAATGCTTGAGGTTGTGAGCAAGAAACGTCTAAACTTAACATGAGTATACCCTCAGTTTTTCCTTCCAAAAAAAATACCAGACAGACGCCTGCAGACAAGTGGATATCATGGATATTATCAGGTATTGAATATTCAAGTACTAAAGTGAAAAAACTTAGTTTCAGAGTCCTATCATTTGTGCCTGCAGGAGATCATGTATGTGGTGACACTCCCCTATTGAGGTGCCGCCCTCTCGCGACTAACAAGCAGCTCCCACCAGAACACCCCTTTTCGCAGCAGCG